ATGGGCAGGGCAAGAAGCAAGCTGTGGCGGCCTGCTCTACTAGCGAGAATCGGAGCTGTTTCTGGGAAAAGAAACCGAAAGCTGAGCTGGGTCCTTTAAACGTGAGCCAAGAAAGCCAAACTCCAGTCCCTGCGTGTCTTCGGTTCTCGACTACATCCTCTGACCCCCACTGCCCTCCCTCTCATGGATTTTAAACTTCAACAGCCACTGGGCAAATCAGGCTCTGAGCTGAGCGGATCGCAGCGAGGGCGGGGGCACTCCTTTCTGAAACGGGGGTGAGGTGGGGTAGGGGCGGAAAGGGCTGCCTGTTGTGGTCTCCAAGCTCCTGGTCCGAGAGCAGAGCTGTGGCCTCAAGGAGCCAGGCTGGGAAGCTGGACGATGCGACAGAGTGAGCGCGCTGGGCACTTCCTGGGAACCAGGAGAGGTGCACAGCAGCAGAAAGAGCGATGGAGGAAGAGGTTCAGAAGTGGGGTCTCGCTTGGCCTGAGAGCCTGGAGGCGGCAAGAAAAGCCATTCCTCCTAGCGCCCACCACACTGAACTCAGAATGGGGGAAAAGAAAGATGAGTGTGGGGAGAGCGGGTCCCGACTGGACAGTAGTTTCTACGGGAAGAAGCTCCCAAGCCATTTCACTTTTGCTGTACTTGGAAATGTTGGGACCGCTGGGAGAGGAGGTCGGGGTAAGAGTGAAGGGGAACTACACCTGGTCAGAAATCCTGCTTGGACAAGGGGACCTGGGTCTGCAGGAATTGTGTCCTAAGTAAGGTAGATTCTACAATGCAGTGAGAGGAGAGAATCTGTCTGAGAATCATCAATCATCTCACTGACTGCTTCCCAAGACTCTTGTGAGGGGACAGACAGCTCTGGGGGCAAATGGGCCTGTGAGATGTAGCCCTTGGATTAAGAGCCTGGGGAAGATGAGCCAGAAGAAGCAGAGTGGCTGCCAGCAGTCTGCAGTCACTGCCACCATCCAAGGGCTGGGGGAGGAGCAGCTTACCAAGAACCCAAAAGATGAGGTTCCTCCTAAAGCACAGGAGGTCTCATCATGGTCAGTGTAACCCAGTAGAGCCCCCACTCTATGGAAAGCCTGGGCGGTGACAAAAGTAATCAAGTAAGTACAGCCTGGGCCCTGCCCCCAGGAGCTTCCCATCCTGTTAGAGTCAACCACTCTAACATACAAGAACAGAAGTGTCCACAAAGTGCTGTTTGAGACCTGTGGATGGAATAATTACTTCCAAATGAGGTGCTATGGCAAGCCATCTTGGAAGATGTGACATTTATTGAGTGAGGTCTAAAAGGATGAAGAAGACTTTTACTGATCTAGTGATGGAAGGGCATTGTGGGCATAGGGAATGATATGGACAAAGGTACAGAGGTAGGAAAGTACGGCATATGGACTCATGGGATGGAGATTGTTTTTTTTTTCCCATGAGAGTGGGAAATATTCCTCATTTACTGACAATTTAGATGGAGGGAACCTATGCAGACTTGAGGACTTTTCTAAAGGGGAAATAATGCACTTTCCTGCCTATAGGGGCAATTCTTTTCTTCAGTGAGAAGGATCTCTGCCCCTTGCCCTCATTTAGCACGAGGGAGAGGTTGACTCTTTTAGAAATCTTCCCATTCCTCTACTCACAGTGTCCTGTGGATCATACAGGACACTGAACCTGTTAACTGAACCTTAGAGATAAAAACCCTTCTTTATAATTAAGAAGACGAGGTTAGAAAGAGATGGGATCTTGCCCATATCCTAACATCAGTAGCATAAGGAAATTCATCCCTGAGTCCTCTGCTTTTTGGTGGTGGGATGATTTTCTGGTAGTCAAATGGTTTTTAAATTGTCTCTCCCGGATCGATTTTCCAGGTTGGTTATTTTACCGATGAGATATTTTAGGTTTTCATCCATTTCTTCATTTTTTTTTTGTTTCTGTTTGACTGATTCTTGCTCTCTCATAGAGTCATTACTTTCCATTTGTCCAATTCTAGTTTTTAACAGATTGTTTTCAGCTGTTAGTTTTTGTACTTCCTTCTTCAATTGGCCAAATGTATTTTTAAGGGATTTGTTTTCTTCAGTGTACTCTTTTTCCAATTGGCCAATTGTATTTTTGAAGGACTCTTCTACCTCTCTCATTAGACTTTTAAAATCATTCTTACGCTCTTCTAAGAAGGCTTTTGGGGCTTCAGACCAGTTCATATTCCCTTTTCATGTTGCAGATGTGGGTTTCTTGACATTGTTGTCCTCTTCAAAGTTTTTGTCTTGATCTCCACTCTTCTCATAGTATGAATCTATGGTACGTATCTTTTTACTCGTGGTGTTTCTTTATTCCCTGGCCTTTAAAGAGTTTGACCTCTTCTGCTGGGGAACAGAGTGCACTGAGCCAAGCTTCTTTTGTTGGGAGCCTACATATTGGTCACTGGCTTTGTGTGCTGGGACCTCTTATGTTGGCAATTGGAAGCTGTAGGATCCTGGCAGCTTACCTCATGTTGAGCTGAAATCAGCAAAGCTGGAAGTTTCAGGCAGTTCTAGGTTGTCTGCTTTCCCTTTCCTTAGCTTTCTTCAGCTCCTTTTCGATGGGTGCTACAGGGTGTTTATCTGCCTCGGGCCCCTTTCAGTGCTGTCTCCCTCGTTTCTGCTAATGCACTGGGAGATTCCTTTGAGGTAGAGTACCGAGGCACCTGTTGGTTTTCTGAGCTGGTTTCCACCAGTTCCTCCCAACCTCAATGAGGTCCAGGTGTTGGTGTTTGCCTGCTCTACCACCTGGACTTCAGGATCTCTTCCTGGTTGACAGTTGGAGGTTCTCACAGCTTACCTTGTGTTTGGCTGGTATCAGCCATGCTTGGACTTTAGGAAGACTTTAGGTTGCTTTCTTCTGCTCTTTTCAGATAAATGGTGCAGGATACTTATCCGCCCAGGGCCTTTTGTAGTGCTATTACCCTTATTTTTGCTGAGGCACTGGGAGACCCATTTGCTGGGCTGCTGCACTGCTACTCCCCAACTTTCTTCTACTTCAGATGTTCCAGGTTTTTTTTGGGGGGTTTTTCTGGTTTTCAGAGGTTGATAGGGAGAGTGAGAGCAACTACCTTTTTACTCCACCATCTTGTCCCCCCAATTTTCATATAATTTGGTTGTGGTTTTGCTGCCGCCTTCTTCTTCTTCTTCTTCTTCTTCTTCTTCTTCTTCTTCTTCTTCTTCTTCTTCTTCTTCTTCTTCTTCTTCTTCTTCTGTCTCTTTTCCCCTCCCCTCCAAAGTTCTTTTTAAAAGTCTCTGGTAAAAGAACAAAGATGAATCTCTTTTATCCTGTGCAATAATAGAAATCAACAGACTTCCATCGGACATGCCCTTGGACAAATTCTCTCTCGTTTAGAAATGGGCAGTCATGTTTTGTTCCTCATTTTGAAAACCTGATCAAGGGTTGAACACAAATTCTAGATTGCGGTGGGAACCATCAAGCTTTTCTCTTACTTATCAAGTTGTGGCTCATGTTCACTTAAAGAAACCTTCTAAATACCTTTTGATTTTAGTCTAAAACTGCCAACCTTTCACAAGGAAAGTTTTCATTTCTGCCAAAGTGTTGGTTTTATACGCACACCCCCCTGCACCTCCAACCTTTTTGTCCTTTTTTTTTTTTGTTGGCTGAAGTTTAGTGTTGAAAAAGAATAGACAGTATATAAAAATACTTTTTTTGGTTTGGTTTTGAGTAAAAGTCTTCTGTTTTAGGGAAATATGATGCTTACCAAATACTTTTTTCATAAAATTTGTTAATAACTTTCTTTCTCTTCCTTCCTTCCTTCCTTCCTGTCTTTCTTTCTTCCTTTCTTTCTTCCTTTCTTTCTTTTTCTTTCTTTCTTCCTTTCTTCTTTCCTTCCTTTCTTTCTTCCTTCCTTTCTTTTTCTTTCTTTCTTTCTTCCTTCCTTCCTTCCTTCTTTCTTTCTTTCTCTCTTTCTTTCTTTCTTTCTTTCTTTCTTTCTTTCTTTCTTTCTTTCTTCATTTTTCCTCCTACACTTGACAGGTATGAGAGGGATGGTGTCTCTTAGCAGCAGTTCTTTGAGATGGAGTTGAACTCAAGGAGTCCTCACCACAAAAGGATCATACATTTATTGGGTTACATCAACCTAGTTACCCCTAAGCTGCCAAGCTTGCTTTTTAATTATTAATATTATTATATTTAGCTGGACCATATATATGATACCTGGTGCCATTTTATTTTGTTTAGTTTTTTTTTCTTTTCTTGATGACCCTGAGCACAAAGTAGCTGAGATAGATGAGTGAGGACCACATGATGTTCTGAATATGAGAGCGGCACTGGTTTTGCTGCATCCAGGAAAAATCGAGATAGTTAACTACACAACCCATCAACATCTGTGTAATCAGAAACAAGGTGATGAACATGGTGAACTTCGGTGAGACCTGGAACCCCACCGCTTGCAAGGTATAGTAGGAATACATTACTGCATGCACTTCATAGTTCATGGTCATGAACCAACCATGTCCTTCTAAAAGTAGCAAGAATAGAGCAGCACAGTGATGTGGTGACACCAATGTAGTAAGATGAGTTTCTGTTTTTGAAAAATAATTAATAGTTTCTCCAAATTCAAGTGATTTGCTTAATACAAATGCAAAAGACGCAAATTTGCTGACAGGTCCATTGTAAAAACTCTGATCACAAATTGATTGCTTCAGGCCTTTGGTCATCAAAATGTACACAATATAAGCACCAGTTTGAAGAGCAACAACTATACCCTAACCCTATATGGAAGACTGCAATGCTCAGGGACCACAGTACAAGTGGCTTCCTGACTTCCAACTTTGCCCATTTGTTCATTAGGTGCTGACCACCAAATATAAAGGCAGCATACAGAGCTGAAAATAAGAACGATTTTCTTCCAGTTCTCTTGCATCGACTGGATGGCTTTGTTCTCATTGAATTGCTTTTCAAATTCATATTCCTGAGAAGTCAACACTACCATGTTCATTTGAACTGCTTCTCTGAATCCCTGCATATTCCATATAAAAATAAGTAAATTATCTGCAAAAAAGCATTTCTCCCCCTTTCTATTACTGTCTGAAGTCCTTCCCTCAACAACCTCCCATTTCTTCCCCTCCTTGTGCACCCTCTGCATCTCTCTAAGCTGCATCCTGGATTTGCCATTGCTTTCTCCTGCTCTTCCTATTCTCTTTCTCCTGTATCTGGTGTTCTTCTTGATCCTGTTTCATTTTGAAGTTTCATTTTCATTGTATTATGAGGTTCAGACACATGAGCAGACACCTTAAACTTACTTGGATGATTCCATTTCTCTACATGGAGGACACTTGGGAACTTGTTTCTGAGTTGAGGGCCGGCTCTAAGAGTCTGATCTGGGTTTAACATCCAGGACAGAATTTGCCTCTTGTCCAGGCTTAACCCACAAGGCTCAATCATTTAGGAACCAGGGCTCTCCAAATCTCTCCCTGCAAGGGAGGCTACTGAGACATTCCTTCTCACTCTTTGAACCTTAGATTTACACATTCACTCCTCTATGCAGGTGGCACCAAGGCACATGGGAAAGCCTTGGAAACTACAACCCAATCTAGGAACCCTCATAACGAGGAAATGTATGTTGTCACATCCTCAGCAGATGTTTTGGGGAGTGTCTCACGGGAAACACTCTTTGAAGTTAGGCTAGATTTTCTCTATATATCCTTTACCCTCAGATGAATAAACTGACTCAGTCTTTACTGCTCCGCCTGGCCGACGTCTCACATTTATTTTCTGCCTTCCCGTTCAGTGCACTATCTGATTGCTGGCAACATTTCAGAGGGTCTTGATGATGTGTAAAGGAAGTGTTTGGGAGAAACTATGAGTCACGTATAGACTTCCTGCCAAATATTTAGTGCAAGGGAAGCTCTTTGATGACCCTTATCGCATTCAAAAAGCCCTTTCAATATCACTACCTAGTCTTTTTCCTCTGCCCATTTTAGGAAAATCCTGGTGACTCTTCTGTTTACAACCTTCAGTGATATACCTGTTGTAAGGGAACAGGCCTTAAGTTCTTCTCCCCCACTAAAACCATCTGAGTCTGAGAAACAGGCATTACTCTTTGGTATTGGAACCAGTAAGAACAGTTGTATGAATTCATCTAGCAATATTCTGCAGCATGAGAACAGGAGTGGAAAAGGCAGAAGGCAAAATTGACTCAGATGTGAGGTTAGGAAAGAGATATGCAGCAATAGGACAAAGGATTCAAGGATTCAAGAGCACATGAAACTCTGAAGTTGGAATTCTTAACTATGAGGCCAAGATTTTCCATGAATGAAAGTGCATCTATAACAGCATGGTCCCCGAATAAAGCACAGAGTGGAGTGATTAGAGGTTATGGTGAGAATGAAAAATACATTAGAAAGGATGAGGTAGAGATAAGTAAAGCAATGAGGATAGGGTTAGATAGAAGAATTTTAGAGTTATAGATTATAGAGATAGAACACTTTGGGTACTAGTGACTCCAAGGGTGTGGCTATTCTTATATATGGCTGGGGTAGAGGGAAGGTTCAGATCATGACAGTGCACTACTTTGATGTACTAGGAAAAAAGGATATTTCAGAAGGCATCAACATATAAATTGTAGTCCCCAATTACAAAGTCAGGGTCAGTGGAAGGTTAACAAGGGCTCATAATGTCCCATCCTGCACAGTTTTTCAAAGATCATTGAGAATAGCGCAGCAATTACACTTAGGTCACTTAAACTGAAACACTTATCAAGCACCTAATGGTGCAAAGCACTCTGCTAGGGACTAGGGACATGAACACAAAACAAATAGTCCCTGTCCTTAAAGAGCTTATATTTTACTGAATGCACATTCTTCCAGTTCCTAAGGATGAACTTTACCAGGCTGTCTTGAAATCATCAAGGTAAAGTCAAGTCATCTATTATGATGTCCTGAGGTATTTTGCTTATCAACTTCCTATTAACCATTTTGGTCATGTCCTTTGTAATCTATAAATCATTCTCATAGTCTAAGAAAATTAAAGCAACTTGAGAGTTGAGCTTCTCTGTTTTCATGTTGTCATACATTAGCTTCTCCATTTGCCCTGAGCCATTACTCACTCTACTCTTAATCTCATTCCCTTCCTTCTGATGACCATTTCCAGTTTATCCTGAATCTATCCTGTTTGTTCATAGTGATTTACGTGTTGTCTTCTCCATTATGTTGTGAGTGCCTTGGACCAGGGATTGTCTTTTATCTTTTTTTGTCTCCCCAGGCACACATTGCTGTTATTCACTCATTCAGACATGTCTGAACTCTTCATGACCCTATAAATCATAACTGTTCCATAAAGTTTTCTTGGCAGAGATACTGAAAGGTTTGTCATTTCCTCCTCCAGTGGATCCTTTTGTCAGACAGAGCAAGGATAACTGACTTGCCCAGGGTAACACAGCTAGGAAGTGTCTGAAGCTGGATTTGAACTCAGATATTCCTGATTCCAGGCCCAACACTCTGTTCCCTCAGACACCAGCTGGCACAACATGCTAGTTGACTCAGTGATTGACTTATTTGATCCTACTTTTTTTTAAATAAAATAACTTAGAGAACACAGACACAAGCAAAAGCCTTTTGTTTTCCCTATTAACTTCAGCTCATTGCAATCTTTAGCATTCCCAGTGCTGTTATTACAGGTCTTTCCTATATTTTATAATCATCCTTTTTCACCTGGGCTTGCTTGTATCCTGTGTTTATCCTTTTTTTTTTTTTTGCTTTTTGGTGAGGCAATCAGGATAAAGTGACTTGCACAGGGTCACACAGCTAGTAAGTGTCAAATGTCCAAAGCCAAATTTGAACTCAGGTCCTCCTGACCCCAAGACCAGAGCTCTATCCACTGAGCCACCGAGCTGCTCCTATCCTGCATATATCTTTTTAAACCTATATTTTTAGTTGTCTAAATCTATATTCTGAGGTCAGGTTCTAATGTTCTACATTCTTGGTGCCCTTTTACCTCTCACATTTTCTGTTCCATATTCTAGCAGCCCTCCAGCTCTCACACTTTATGATTCTACTTCCTCTGGACTATGAACTGGTTCAGTGGAAGTATTAGACAACCAAGTTCAACCCTTCTCCCTTGTGAGTATCAACCCTTAGTACTGTTGACGAAGGCCATACTAAAACTTGTATCCGTTTCCTGACCCTAGTTAGTCTTGTCCAGGATGAAATTAGGAAGGAAAAAAAGGTTTACCTAATTCATGTTATGGTTTACTAAGATTAGGATAATGTGTTTCTGATACATAGAAGAATTCTTTGGAATCTCCTTCTTCTCTCTCTTAGATGATCAATTAGAAGGAACAGAGGTGAGTCTAATATTTTGTTTGACATCAGAGAATTTGAATAGTTAATACTGTATGGGGGCTCTGGGGGTCCATATTGATACATTAGAAAGAACAAAAAATTTGATGTTAAAAGGTAATTAACTTTTCTTTGGGGATCTGCTATTGATTTGCTGTGTGATTTGAGTAACTCTTTTACCCCCTCTGAGCGACAGTTTCATCAACTATAAAATAAGACCATTGTACTAAAATTCTCTAAAAGATATTCTTAGGGTCATTTCTCTGTGCCCACATTCTATATTATTTGTTCTAAGGTCGCTTGTAGCTCCAGCATTTCAACATTCATTTTTTAAAATAGGAAAGTCAAACTTAGAAAGTGGAAGTGATTAGTTCAAGGTCAGAAGACTTGAACAGGGACACCCCAAATAAGTATGAATATTGTAAGAGCCAAAGATAGAGGTTCTAAGACTCCAGTGGAATATACGAACCACTGTCTGAAAAATGGCTGCTACAGATAGCCTGGTACAAGCAAAGCTGCATGATACCTGGATACCCTCAAACCAATCTGCACCATACATCAGAAAATTAATATGAACCAATAAATATGCACTCTGTGATGCTAATATGTGAGTACTAAATGTGAAACACTTTCTTCATTATCTTCTAATTTATGTCTCCAGAGACAGCTTATGACCACTTAGATCTATGTAGCAAAGGAAATGGATATACTCCGATTCAAAAGATAAGTCTTCCTGACTCCAGGCCTGATGCTCAATCCATTGGGCCAGCTAGTTAAGTGGCCTCCAATTGTCTCTCAAGACTCTTTTGTCCATCACCTCCTCTCTCCAATACTCAGGGATCTAATTAAACTCTTTACTCTCTCTGTTCCAGACAATCCATTTTCCTATCTTTTTAAGGAAAGCTATGCCAATGACCATATTTGAAAGAAAAGCTTCACATGCTTCTCTGTTGCACGTTGATGTTTTTCATTGATGATTTAGCTCGTTGGAAAGTTATGGCATTTTGATTTGATGCTTGAGCTCATTTTGTACTGGCCATCCTCTATGCCTGGAATGGACTCCCCTTTCTTCCTTTAAGATGCAGATCAAATATTATTTTGCACAAGGAGTTTTTCCTGATCCTTCTGATAGGATTATTGTTATTGCACCACTTTCTACTGCCTGGGTACTCTGACCAATCCTGAACTGTGATAGCAAGCAGGTCTCTATAATTAAACTAATACCTTACGGTGGGATTTTTCAGGTACATTGATAGCAAAACGGTGTGTCTTATTAAAAAATCACTTGAGGGCTGGGATTAGCCACGAGGGCCTCCGGGGTGATTGTTATTTTCAGTATTTAAACTGGACCCTGGCAATCAAAAGGGCTCAAAAGCAAAAGAGATAGGAGCAAGGAGCTCTCTTGGAAACTCTGGAGAAAAAGCTCCTGGCGGTTCTGCGCTATGAAAAGAAGGGCCTTGGCGGCTCAACCTGTGCAATCAAGGTAAAGAGAGCGAAGGTCGCAACACCCTATTTTTTAACAGTTTTAGGGGTCAAAAGGCTCCGGGTAAAGTGGGGAAATAGGAAAAACAAAAGTAAAAAGGCTTCGGAATAGGAGCATGAGAAAAGAAAAGAAAAGAAAAGAAAAGGGCTGCAGCATAACAATAGTATCCCTTTGGAAGGCCATAAGCACTCTCTTAAGGTTTTGGGAGGCGCACCTGGCATTGAAAGTATGGATCAAATACAAAGCAGAAGCAAAGACAGAGAAAATAATGTGCAACTTTTAAAAGAAATAGTGAAGAAATAAGTTTATTCTTCACAGATGGTCAGTTACAGGAATTTTTGGAATGTGTAGAAACATGCTGCCCGTGGGTGCTTCAGGAAAGAAAAATCGATTTACAAATAAGGGAAACGGTGGGTAGACAAATGAGTGATTACTATAGAGAAGTACGTCCAGGTGCTTTCTCCATAGCTACATTCTCAATTTCAACCGTGCTAAAAATATGTCTCGATCCTCAAGAGGATGTGTTATTAATAACTGAAATACATAAGGCAGATTTGGGGGCAGGAACTAAGGAAGAAGAAGATATGAATAGAATATTTCAGGAAAAGCTTAGAATTGTAGAAGATGTTATCTATGCAAAATGTATTAGACCTTCAGCACCACCACATCCCTCACCCTCACATAGATCAAGCTCCTACAGAAAACATAATGAGGAGATAAATAAATATCAAAAAAGCCATAAAATACACTGTAAAGGGTTATTAGAAAAGGCAATTATAAAAGCAGAGGAAAAGGGACAGGTAGTACCCATGGAATTCAAATTACCTGTGCCCAGAATAATGCTATTTCCAGTACATGAGGAGGAAGATGTAAATAACCCAAGTACAAACACTGGAGTTCAGAGACAGTTTAAATTTAAATTGTTAAAAGAATTAAAAGAGGCTTCAGTTAATTCCGGATCCAATAGAATATTAGCCCCATATAACTGGTATTCTATAGTAAAGATATGTCTTGATACTGGAGATTATTTCATTTGGGAATCAGAATATTGTTTTTAATATAAATGTATTTATTTTTAGTTTTCAATATTCACTTCCACAAGTTTTTGAGTTCCAATTTTTTCCCCCTTCGTACACCTTCCCCTACTCTGTCCTCTCTTCCATCTCTCCCCCCTTCTCTTATCCCCTTCCCCTTCTAGTTTCCTGTAGGGCAACATGGACTTCTATACCCCATCTCCTGTATTTCTTATTTCCCAGTACCATGTGAAAACATTTTTTCTACATATGTTTTCACAACTTTAGGTTTCAAATTTTCTCTCTTTCTCCCTCCCCAGCCACCCTCATTGAAAAGGCAAGCAACTCAATATAGGTTGTACATGTGCAGTTATGCAAAACACTTCCATAGTAGACATGTTGTGAAAAGCTAACTCTGTTTCCCTTAATCCTATCCTGCCCTCCCATTTCTTCTATTCTTTCTTTTGACCCTGTCCCTCCTCAAGAATTATTTGCTTCTGATTACCCCCTTTCCCAATCTGTCCTCCTCTCTATCATCACCCTGTTCTCTTATCCCCTTCTCCACCTATTTTCCTGTAAGGTAACACAGATTTCTATACCCAATTGAATGTGTATGTTACTCCTCCTTAAGCTAAATCCAATGACAGTAAGATTCACTCATTCCCTCACCTTCCCCTGCTTCCCCTCCACTGTTAGAGACTTTTCTTTTCTATGTTTTCTTCTGATAATTTACCCCATTCTGCCTCTCCCTTTTCTCTTCTCCAAGTATCATCTTCTCTCATCCCTTAATGTTATTCTCCACACATGACCCCTTAATCTTCAACTCACCCTGTGCCCTGTATCTCTCTATCTACCTATCTATCTATCTATCTATCTATCTATCTATCTATCTATCTATCCATCTATCTATCTATCTATCCATCTATCTATCTTTCTATCTATATACATACATATATTTTTTCTTCAACTGCCCTAATACTGACAAAGATCTCATGAGTTATAAATATCATCTTTCCATGCACGAATGTAAACAGTTCAATCTTAATAAGTCTATCATGATTTCTCTTTCCTGTTTCCCTATTCATGTTCCACTTGAGTCCTGTATTTGAATTTCAAATTTTCTATTCAGCTCTGCTCTTTTCATCAGGAATGCTTGAAAGTCCTCTACTTCACTGAATGACCATGTTTTCCCCTGAAGGATTGTACTCACTTTTGCTGGGTAGGTGTTTCTTGGTTGTACTCCTATCTCCTTTGCCCTCTGGAATATTATATTCCATGCCCTGCAGTCCTTTAATGTGGAACATGCTAAATTTATGTTATCCTGTTCTGTTTCCACAGTACTTCAATTGTTTCCTTCTGGCCCCTTGTAATATTTTCTTCTTCACCTGGAAACTCTGGAATGTGGCTATAATATTCCTAGGAGTTTTCCTTTGGGGATCTCTTTCACGAAGAGATCGGTGGATTCTTTCAATTTCTATTTTGCCCTCTGATTCTAGAAGTGCAGGGCAGTTTTCCTTAATAATTTCTTGAAAGATGATGTCTAGCCTCTTTTTTTGTTTTGATCGTGGCTTTCAGATGATTTACTAATTTTTATATTCTCTCTCCTGGATCTATTTTCAAGTAAAGTTGTTATTTTTCCCATGATATATGTCACATTGTCTTTGACTTTTTATTCTTTTGGATTTGTTTTACAATGTCTTCATTTTTCATAAAGTCAGTAGTTTCCAGTTGCTCCATTCTAATTTTTAAGGAAGTATTTTCATCAGTGAGCTTTTGGACTGTTTCCATTTGGCCAATTCTGCTTTTAAAGGCATTCTTCTCCTCATTGGCTTTTTGGACCTCTTTTGCCATTGCGGTTTCTCTAGTTTTTTAAGTGTGATTTTCTTCACCATTTTTTGGGTCTACTTTAGCAAACTGCTGACTGTTTTTTGATTTTCTTACGTCACTTTTATTACTCTTCCCAGCTCTTCCATGGCCTGTGACCGATTCCTATTTTTCTTGGTGGCTATGGAGTAGGAACTTTGACTTTGTTGTCACCTCCTAGTTGTATGTTTTCATCTTCTTTGCCACCAAAAAAAGAGATTCTATGCTGTGACATTTTTTGCACAGTTTGCTCATGATCCCAGCCAATTACTTGAGTATTAAACTCTTTGTTAAGGTAAAGGATCTACATCCAGTGTGCAGAATACACTGTCCCAAGCTTTGAGGGTTTTCTGCAATTATGTTCACAGATATTTCCAGAAACATCTAACTTTTCAGGTCTGCCAAAGTGGTATGATAAAGAGTGATGTATTTACTCCTTTCCTGGCCTGTGCTCTGATCTATCAGTGACCACAAACATTCCTTTTTACCTTGGAACTGTGAGGAGTATTCTCTCTGCCCCATTGTGAATAGCTCCACCACGCCAGCACTCTTCCTTGCCCCAGGAGTGCCACCCAGAACTGTGACCCACATAAAACCATGGCAAAGAAAGAGAATTCTACCTCTACACCTGCATAGAAATCACTGCAATCTCCCTCTGATCAGCCACTGAATTCCCCCTCAATCTGTGGGCTAGAATATCCAGAAGCAGCTGCGCCCGCCCCACCAGGGGTACAACCTGGAATGGGGCTGAGAATTACTTTCTCTCTCATGAGGTCACAGAATTTTCATAGTGACATTCTAAGTTGTCTTTGGAGTTCTGGGTCAAGGAATCGGGGAAAGTGCCACAGCTGCCCACGATTCAGTCCCCTGAGCCCTGGACCAGGTTGATTTCCTACATGCCCAAGGTGAACTGTGTTTCTCTCCTAGCTCTACACAATAGATCTTTCTAATCAAAACTGAGACAGAGCTTTCTAATCAACCATCCAGGTTGTCTTGGAATGGACATTTGCATCACTCTGTCTTTTGTAGTTTCTGCTGCTCTAGAATTTATTTAGAGCCATTTTTTCAAGTTATTTCAAGATGTTGTTTGGGGGAGAGCTAAAGAAAGTTGCTGCATTTACTGCACTGTGTTGGCTCTGTCCCCGCACCATTTAAATAATGTTTAACATTCCTTTGAAACACAATGTTTTGGGGCTAGGTAAGTGAGTGACCACAACAAACAGCACCTGGGAAACAAGTGAAACCATTTCATTTTTGACTTTCCTATCTGGAAAGAAAATCTCAAGGACCATATTCCACTAAGGAATCTAATAGTG